GACAAGCTCCTGCCTCAGGTGCTTCTACAGGTTCTCGGCCAAGATCCGCCTTCAAGTAATCTGCAGAGGTCCAGAGAGTGCTCGGCCCAGATTCTCGTTCAAGCAGTCCTGAGACACAGATTCTGCTGCAAGCTGCTGTAACACAGGTCCTGCGCAGGTTGTCAGACAAGCTCCCGCTTCAGGTGCTTCTACAGGTCCTTGGCCAAGATCCTTCAAGTGGTCTTCAGAGGTCTGGAGACGCAGATCCTGATGCATACTTGCTGCAACACAGGTCCTGCACAGATTCTTGGATGAGCTCCTGCTACGGGTGCTTCTACAGGTCCTCAGCCAAGATCTCTTTCAAATAATGGTCTTCAGAGGTCGGGAAGGAGAGATTCTGATGGATAGTTGCTGCGACACAGGGCCTGCCAAGGTCCTTGGACGGGCCCTGCTACAGGTGCTTCTGCAGGTCCTCGGCTAAGATCTTCCTTCAATTCAAGCGGTCTTCAGACAGCAGCAGTGGTTAAACTTCCTCGGAGAGCAGCTGAAAACAGTGCAGCGCTACTGACACCTCTTACAATTTGGTGCCAATACTTGTTTGGTTCATGTTTCCTTCATTCACTGGTTGCCTGTGCAAAAGTAAAGATTATGTAGCGGGCCCCCATGTGAACACCATTTTTGGAAGAATACTTTTCAACCATATCCCACATACTTGTGGCGAGATATCCTATACTATTTGGATTCCCTATACTTGTTGCGGAGTAATGCTGGAGGAACCAAAACGGTGTGAGGTTCAAGAACATCGTCCTGCGTGACCTTCAGTACATCCTTCCTCAGATCTTCACCTGGTACAGCAAAATATACTCTTCCACCACGAAGAGTATGGGCAGCAATGCTCGTGCGGGCTTGAAGCAACTGAGTGAAGGCTTCGAGCGAAAGAAGTTCCGCGGAAAGATGCGTGGCGTACGTCTGGACAAATGGTGGCCGGTAGCTTCTGGTATCGTGGCCCCTCCTATGAAATTTATTGTCCAGCCACCTTGGTGGGAAACAATTTTTGGGGGCAAGATGTTGTACACCTCTTCGTATAGTGTTTGTACATAATACGAACGAGTGACAGCCAGAGGTTTTGTGTATTGTTTATGTGCTATATATATATATATATTCTATTTCACTTTAATGGAGAAGTTCAGTTCACCAGCTGGGCGCTCGTCTGGCGCACTAGTTCTTCGAGTGGCTATTGGTACAGTTCATGAGGTATCCAACATCTCATCCATTCGGTACGTATGGCATATCAAACCTTTCAGACACCGGTGCTGGAGGTGCACTCGGCCTGAAAGACAGGCTTTACCTTGGGAATTGCTTGGTTTTCAAATCTTTCCTTCTGAGATGATTTACGCTAGCTGCGCACTCTGCGCGCTTGTCCGCATATACATGAGATCATATATGGGAGTCACGCCAGGACAGAAAATGATGTTCGACGTTAACAATCATAAGGTGAATGAAGCTCGCGCACAGCTGGGCGAAGCATGGGTCTTGCTGGGCGATGAACTCGATCGCCAGGCGAGCAAGATGTTTCATGAAGATGGCTGTGATGGTTGTACTGAACGAAACATTCAATGAACCCCAGAATCGTCTTTTGAAATTGGTTTTTCAGATAGCGAAGCTATAAGGGTGTTTACTCTTCAATGATTGGGTGCCAGATGTCGTCTAATAGACTCTGAGTTTGTCGTTTGTCTCTTTTGGCAGTCAGTGGCGGCCGCTGCCACTGCCACCGTTTTTGCCAATCTTGTCTCCCATGCAGCTTGTGTTCCAACATGAGGTTTCCCAAAATGATGTCTGGTGTGGCAGGCAGTGGCTGCTGCTGCCTTCTTTCCGAAAATGACGTTGTTGCTTTCGGTATCCGGTGTAGCTGCCCGCCAAACTTCTTCGCCAGGCGGTGTCACACGCTTTTTGCGAAATGCGTCAGCAACACTGCCGTGAGCAACAGCGTGCGGCCAAGAGAAGACGATCGGATACGGACCTACAGCTCTGGGCCTCGAAGGCTTTGAAGAAAGGCCTCCGACAATATACCATGCATGAAAACGAATGTGCACCAGATTGTTTGTGTATCATGCAATGCAAGCTGACTGTACTACTGTTGTGCCCACGCAAAAAGTTAGGGGATGGAAAAGTCTGTGGCCTAGCCACTCTTCGCAGTGCCATTCATGCCCTCCATGTTGAGTGCCAGGCTGTGTGAAGTGGCACATCAAGACCCTCAAGAAGAAGATCAGTGGCAAACCCTTTTGCTGTGGACGGCAGAGGCAGGATCGCTTCTGCAGCTACTGCGGCAAGATCTTGATGACTGTGTTGTGCCCCCCTGGCTTGGGTGGATGTCTCATCACGAATCAGTGCCCCATTTTTGTTGTTGACGCATACCTACTTTCTTCTTGATTTCGCTCTCTCCATGTCGTAGTTACGCAACCATGTTTTGGCAGAGCCGTGTTGGCTTTGGCTATGATGCAGAGCTGTGTCACCAGCTAACCTGGGGTTGTTTTGCTTCGTCTAGGTGTGAAACTGGACGATGCAGGGATGATTGCTTCTCACGGTAGTCGCGAGCAACGTAGCTTCCTCGAAAAGTCGATAAAACACAAGTTAGACGGCGGGGTTGAAAGTAGCTTATGCTGTTGTGTTTTCAACTAGACTATGTAGTGGGCCCTTGGCTGAACAAGAGCATTCTGCAGCTGGGCGCATTGGCGATTCCCTTCCAAAGCTGACTTGCCACAACTCTTTTGTTTCAAAGCTTTGCTTGAAAAGGCGCAGAGTTCAGACAGCAGTGGTTCAACTTCCTCGGAGAGCACCTGAAAACACTGCAGCGCTAGTGACACCTCTCACAAAATGGTAACAATACTTGTTTGGTGTATGTCTAAAAAAAGTGTGCTAGCCGCGCGCTAGCACTGCGCTAGATCAACACTATAGCAAACATCGCCGCATTCCAGCATGGACCCTTCCAAAGCTGACTTGCCACAACTCTTTTGTTTCAAGCTTTGCTTGAAAAGGCACAGAGTTCAGGCAGCA